CTATGTTTCCCAGAATGCCATGGGAAATCACGTGGATGAGCAACTTTTCTCAGACTCGGAGTCCAGAGAGGACTCCATTGCCCACAATCCCTCGGGAGATCACATGACTTTGGACAATCGTTCACGCACCTATCACTCACAGTCACCAGAATACTAACAATGAACACCTGTGTTTGTAGTCATATGACTCATGTAGAATAGTATATTAGCCTGGGCTTTAGTTAGGGTCTTTGCAAGGTATTGCTTCTTTCAAACATACTGAGCGATTTTTCTGATCTGTCTGCGTTTGCCTGTTGTGACCCACTTTTGTTGAACTGACCTTTGTACCTTTGCTGATTGTGATTTGGATCTGTGTTTTGACCTGTTGCCTGCTTTTTGACGATGATTTTGGTTTACCCCCTTGGTTTTTGTCTGCCCAGTGTTATGATCACTTCTGTGATCTTTTGCTGCCTTTTGATTAAGACCCACACTTGTTTTTTGACCACACCTTTGTCACACGTTAATAAAACCCTGTTGGCATTTTTTATCCGCGAGCATCTGAATTCTGTTGCATCGTCACAACTTTGATTGCATCTCAATAATTGAAATATGCAGAAATGAAAAAAAAAAAACATTTTCCCCTGTGAAATTAAAGGTTTTATATTAAATTTAATAGATATCTGTACTTAAATAGATATATGTAGTGTTGAAACAGATCACATGTGAGCATGCTAAGTTGACAACTTTTTTTCTAAAAAGGAGCTCACTCTTATATATGGGAAGACAATTGATCTGACAGAAAAGAATTCATTTGACTAGTGTTCTGCTAAAACCAGTTCTTCAGCAGTTAAAAAACCTTGATTATAAATTATCCTCAATGATAAATCTTGATTCACAGTGTTGAGCAATGACCAATGCTAATAGAACCCAAAAGACTGAACTAATATGCCAGTCTTGGTCCATGTTTCAGAATATTTGTACCATAAATAGTCATAGATGCTGCTGGCATATAGTGGGCAATAACTGGACAACAGGATTGTGCAACCACACTGCTAAAAAATTGCCACTGCCGTTATGCTGTTAAAACTCAAAAAACATGAAAACCTGTACTTCTTGTCTCATGTTAGGGTGTACATTTTATCTCAATATTTATCTATTCTTATTCTATATTATCAGTTCTTCCAAATGCCGAATGCCAGGATAATACACTATTACACAATAGTGTAATAGTGTATAGTCTAATACACAATTATCATCAAATTAGTACCATAAGATTCAGAAGACACAGATCCTCAATAAATCCTCAATCATCAAAAACATTTTGACTGTTCCACTGAGTGTATTGAGAATCAATCAATTAATTACTGCAACCATGGCATTGCTAGTTTGATTTGCTATAACTCAACAGTCATTGGTCAGATCATTTCCAAACTTTAAGAATTTTTACATATTTAGACTCTAATGGTGTATGCCAAGTTTGGTCCAGATTGGCGTTTAGGGGGCGCTTTAGCACTCAAAAACACTTAGAAATCAACTAAAATGCTATTACAATGTTATTACAAGGTCCACATATAAACAGTTGGTGCCATGTGACTCAGTTCACTCACATGAACAACTTTCTAATTACATGTTATGTCAAAAATTGCACTGCTTGTCTTTTATTTTGGCTTATTCATTCAAAGATTTCACTATACAAAGGCTTATTATACAAAGGTCAAAAGGTCATTCTGACCAAAACTTAGTGAACGTCTTTGGATATGGTCCCTGATCAAGAATGATACCATACTGTGGCCTTTTCACTAATTCTGACCTACTTTCACTGAGCTCCTCACACCAATAGGGCCTCTTATGAGTGCATTGGGCCTCATTATGGCCTACATCAAATCAATGGCTTAAATACAGAACCAATCCACTGTGGAAGTGCTACTATGTGACAAATGCTGCCATTAGTCATGTAGTTTTGACATCTATGACGACAACCTCTTGAATGTTCTACAAAGCAGTGTAGATCAGTACATATTAATGTAAAGCTATAATGTGTTTACAGACCTCTGATCGTTGTTTATGGCAACTGAAGGCCTTTTGATGAACTGACTTCCTATCAGTTCTAATCACTCTGCCTATGAATAAGACCCACAGCTTGAGGCCTTTTTAGGTCTAATGGACTAAACCAAAAGCTTGAGGCCTTTTAGGCCTAATGAGCTAAACCAAAAGCTTGAGGCCTTTTAGGCCTAATGAGCTAAACCAAAAGCTTGAGGCCTTTTTAGGCCTAATGAGCTAAACCTGCAGGAGGGCCCGTACTGCTGTTGCATGCTTGAACCCGCTCATTGCCGCTCACGGCTATATTTTTATCTATTTCTGTGGCCATAGAAAACCTGCATCTCCCAACTCACAATAGCGTCTACACTTAATATTTCTTATTGTTATCATTGCAGCACTGACATCATTTGGTTATTGGCTATTGTATGTTCTCAACAAAAAACATTGTAAATTGTACAGTAAAAGCAGGCATGGTGTAAAATAAAATGACTTGCGTTGGGCTTAACTGAACATTGTATGTGCAAAGTCTCCATTAGGAATGCTGTGCATCAACAGTAAACTGGAAATAAACTCAATGTACTTTTGGGACATTTATTAAATCACCATCAAATGATGTCTGCAATGTTGCAAGATTGATGTTCCTTTGATGCTGAAAAAAGCAAACATGATGTCATCTATATTTTATTTTTGAAAAGACAAATCATTGCCAAAAATATTGGGCCAGAGTCATGAGATTCATCTACATACTGTTATTAAAAAAAAAAGTGATAGACATCAATAAAACATTCAAGCTGATGTCTGAATTGTTCTGGAGAATATCTGTAGTTTCATTTGAGGGACACAGAATGAAATAATATCAATGCTGAATTGTCCAAGATGTATTTAATTAAAGTGATAAGCTGCAGTTTTGGTAAATCAATCATTAATTTCACGTGAATAGTGAGTGTGTATTGCCATCTCATCACGTTACATTCAGTGCTCCAGCTCCGCTCATACATCTGGCCCAAAGTGCTTATCACAGCATGTAAACCATTGGTAAACCTCAAAAACAGGAAGGCCATATCAGAGTTTCCCAAAAAATATCTAAAAAGGCCTGTGCAGTTGTGGAACAACTGTTATGAACAGACGAGACTAAAATCAACCTGTTCCAGAAAGATGTATAGAGAGGAGAATGGACAAGGGAAGGAGCTGCTTATCGTGCATGTTAGTGTTATGGTGTGGGCATGAATGGCTGCCAGTAGAACTGGTTTCTTTGTATTTATTGATGATGTGACTGCTGACAAAAGCAGTAGGATGGATTCTGAAGTGTATAGGGCTGTATTATCTGCTCAGATTAAGCGAAAATGCTTCAAAACACATTGAAAGGAACTTCACAATGCAGATGAACAGTGACCCAAATCACGCTGTGGAAGCAACCCAAGACTTTTTTTGGGGCAAAAAAGTAGAATGTTCGGCAATGGCCAAGTCAATCACCAGATCTCAAACCACTCTTGCATGCATTTCATTTACTGAAGGCGAAATTGAAAGTAAGATGCCCCAAGAACAAGCAGGAACTGAAGGCAGCTGAAGTAAAGCAAGGCCTGGCAGAGCATCACCAGGGAGGACACCCAGCATCTGGTAATGTCTGTAAGTTACAGACTTCAGTATAACACCAATTATTAAAAATGACAATTTAACGTATTGTGGTGTCTGCCATAGGCTCTGCATGGCCGTGAGGAAGTGGCTCTTGGAGCATGCCATACTCCTGGTTAAAAAGGTAGATTAGTTGGGACTGCTGTGATTTTTGTTGCTGGGTGGTTTAGTTTGTAGTTAATTAGTGTAATTGTAACCAAGAATGGTGGGATACAGTGTGCTGGAGGTGTTTACCCTCCTCAGATATTGTTTATAGAAGGAGTGCTGGGCTGGGCATTTCTTGCTGCCTGTTGAATATAAATGAAAAACATTTGCCTGAAGGCATGTTTTCTGTGTCTTATTCTACACTTCGTCTACAGTACGATTATGTTAATTTGTGAATATCCTGTAAAACTAAAGGCCTGAACATATTTATTAGTTAATTTCAACTCCAATATGCTGTAGTAGAAACTAAAACAACGATAACTTTGTCTAAAACACAGTCTAAAAATGTGATTATAGCTAGCCAGCCTAGCATAGAAGTTCCTGACCACCAAGCTGTTGCAGAGCCAAAAAAAGAGCAACACACAGGTAAGTCCCATGTTGTATTTTTACACTGTCATACAAGCACTTAAATTGTGGAATGGCTTGTTAATTATCTCATGAGTTGAATCAGGTGTTTTGGGGGCAGTGTTTTGCTAAATGTGCAAACCAGAGGGTACTCCATGACCAGTGTTGGTGACCACTGCACTAACAAATATTAAACACAAAACAGAAATGTGATCTTGTATAGGCATTCACAAGCAACTTCATGAGCAAACATTTTTATTGTGATAGGTTTCAATTAAATAGATTATATTAGGCCTAGAACACAACTGAAGTCAACACAGATAGATTGATAGTTATCTAATGTTACCCCAAACATTCACAAGTAACTTTATCCTGGAGCTTCTAAAACAACAACAATGCCTCCGAATTCTGATTGGACAGTGATTTCCTTTCAGTTACAATTCCCACCCACTTTTACTGGAAATGCAATAAAATTTCTGATAATGGTCAGGCTGACTGCTTAATTTGATACCTGTCTCAGTTCATTACAAAGGAGACAGTAGAGATCTATGCAGAGACTTGTCTTTCTTTGTTTCTTTGGAGTTCTACTGAGGAGCAGTGCTGTAGGGAATGATACCACCAGAGACCAAACACAAATATAAGTGATCTTCACAGATATGCTGGCATTCTTTCTCAAAGGCAGAAGGTACAGTATCAATAGTGCAAATGATACACAAGAATGGTGATTTCATTCCTCTGTACTGTATTGCAATGATGTTATTTACCCATGTATTGAAACAATAAATCAATATAAGGTGTGCCAGTAAAAATCAAATTAATGCAAACTATTCCTTCTAACAGGTTTTGTGGAAGCCAGATGTCTGCAGGCTTGACGTCCATGCAGTCAGTTTCATCACCAAATGCAACATTTATTCGTCCCTCCAGCTTTTACATCATTGGACTTTACAATGTCCCACATGCAAAGTACTTCTATGTGTTTCTGTGCTTTGTGTATATAGTGACTGTGTTGGGGAATTTGTTTATAATGGGCACCATATACCTGGCACGCAGCTTACACACTGCTAAGTATATAGCTGTCTTCAACTTGGCCTTGTCTGATCTGTGTGGAAGCTCTGCTCTCATTCCAAAGCTTCTGGACATGTTTCTGTTTGAGAATCAGTACATATCTTATGAAGCCTGTCTAGCAAACATGTTTTTTGTTTATGTCTTTATGACCCTGCAGTCTCTTACTCTGCTTGCTATGGCCTATGACAGGCTGATTGCTATATGTTTTCCATTAAGGTATCATGCAATTGTCACCAACACTGCAATGACTTTGATTATCTGTGCTATGTGGATTCTCTCTCTGAGTGTCATTGCTCTGATGGTAGCTCTAGTTACCAGATTGTCCTTCTGTAGATCCACTACAGTTGACAGCTATTTCTGTGATCATGGCCTCTATTACTTAGCCTGTAATGATTACTCCATGAATTCCATTATTGGCAATGTCTGTACTGCTGTACTGCTTTACATTCCATTGATATTAATAGCTCTCTCATATGTTTGTATTGGTTTTGCATTACAGAAGATCTCACATGGAGCTGAGCAAATCAAAGCTATGAAAACCTGCACCTCTCACGTCATATTAGTGGCCATGTTTTATCTACCAATTATTAGTGTTTATACTGCAGCCTTTACAACTCCTATAAGTGCAAATATCAGAATAATCAATACTGCTTTGACACAAACCATTCCACCCATGTTAAACCCCATCATATATACACTAAAAACAGAGGAGGTATTACAGTGTATTAAAGTGATCTACAAACAAACCAGGGTGAACTCTGCAGTGGAAAGAACCATGAAAAAGACTGCAAGGAATTGACACAAAAAATGACACACTAACTGAAAAAAATGGCCTTTTGAGAGAAATAATTATGGGATTTTTAGTTGTGTTTAATTATTACTGTTTCAATTATTAAAATAAGTCAAGTTTAGCCTGCCCATGGATTTGGGCAAGATACATTTCAGAATTATTTTTTATTTTCATGTTTCTATTACATTTCATTGTATGTAACAGTACAATTATTTCATTCTATATATACATATATGATACTAACAGCAAAATCATTCATTTTTAAGTTGTCTTGCGCTTTCTTTTAGGTTTCTAATTATTCAATTGAAAGCTGTGAGGAATCCACCTGTGACAAGTTTTGCAAAGAGCAGAAGGGGAAGTTAGCACTAGCAGTTTTTGTGCTTCTTTTTGGAAAAAAAACTCCACCAGGTTTAATGATTCCTAATCAGCCCATGTAAACATTAGCAACATTTGCAAGTGTCTTGAACACTACAACTAAGTGACAATAAGGGTACTCGTCCATTTTCAAGGTCTTTTGGCAAACATCAGTGATGAAAATGCAGATCATGTTACAAATAACAGTGAATTAATATTTATCTTTGAGTGGATTCTTTTTTATGAGCAAAACTGTCCGACTGTTCAACTCAAGTGGCACAGAATTTTCCTTCTGCTTCCTTCACCAGTGCCTCTCCACCTGAATGTGTCTACAACACAGGACATGAGTTAAACTATTAACCAATCACGAATTTCAAATAAATTTCAAATAAATCCTCTTCTCAAGTAGGCTACTCTCATAAACATATTTTATTTATTTATTGATTGATTGATTGATTGATTGCTACTCCCTATTGAAAAAGCTAATAACAGCAGTTAATAATCTTCCTTCTATATCATTCGGACAAAACTATGTGAACACATCAAGACAGACAATCTCATCTTATCTTAGTCAGTTCTTAGTTAGTGCTGCTGGCTATCCCACAATCCCACAATCCCTGGTGCATTTTTTTGCTACTCACCATAGAAAATGAATGGGGGCGAAATTTTGAATGACAAATTCCGTTAAGGATGACCTGTTTTTTTTATTTGTGCACATGGCAATCCAGTACAAACTGGATATACTTAATTTACATGCATATTGATATATATGATATATAAACAAAAACATCACGTTCCATTTAAAAAAATATACATGTGCTTTTGTTTTATTTTACTGACAAGTAGCATAGTAAGTCAGCTGCAGTACAACTGCAGTGTTATTGTAGTACAAATGCAGCAAACTGGATCAGTTGTTAGTATTGCAGAAGTAGTGCCATTTGTCATTTTTCACAACTCAACCATTGATTGTGCCTAGATTCTATTCTTACGTATTAACAAATCCCAAATAAGAAAATGTTGGTGACAGTCACAATCTTTGTGAAAACTGCATGAGTTTTAAGAAGATATTTCTTTGTAAGAATGGTTGATGAATGAGGCCCAATGCTAGTTTCTCTCTTCACTGTGTGTAGCCTAGGCAGCATAAGCACAAGGGTCCAATTTCATTGCTGTTTGTTATGAATATGTTTGTCATTTACTGGGGGGCATGAACAGCTATGATGATAAATAGTTAACAATATGCGTTAACTACTGTATGTCAGAATATGTCTGGTCAGAATGTAGAGACAGGAATCTTCATCAATTGCTTCTTTAATGAAAGTTAACCACAGATTCAGCAGGTTTGCTTACTGTTTGTGTGTGAACATGTAGAAGAGTGTAGTCGCTAAAACAAGGAAAGAACAATGGACCTCATTCACCAACCAATGTTTTCTTATTTGGAATTTGTTTTCAGGTAAAAACAGAGTTTACACACTCAAGAGCACAAAGGTGTGCACAATTCTGTAGTTTAAGAACACGTCATGAATCTGATGTAGACTTTTCCTTAGGACCTTTCTCAAGAACAAATTTAAGAAAAAAACTTGATGTTCAGTATACACTTATCACTAAGGATGGTAGAAAAGACTGAAACAATCCTTAATCTTTCGATTGTTTTTGAACCCTTGTATGGAAGACTGAGGTTTTAAAATAGTTTGAGGCAGAGGTTCACTGCATCACCATATGTTGAACTCAGTTTGCTCCTATTAGACTTACATGTGTGTCTGCTGCTTCTCCATACAATAGCCTTGTCTCAAAGTCAAAGGTGCCACTGGGGTAGCCAACACCTTGCTATTACTGTTTTACCTTGCTATCAAGTTTTCAGTGCTAGATCACACACCAGCCTCAGCCTTGGTAGCATAAACATTAAATCACCCATTATGTTGGATTTCTTGTACAGGTTCATAGTCGTGATTTTTGCAACATTTCTAAATGGATTGTGGATTGTGGATGATTGAAGGTCTGAAAGGAGTGAGTCCCTAAGGTCCTACAAAATGGGACCACCTTTAGGTATGTACCAGCTTGGCTGAATCCTTGTCTTTGAAAAATCTTAGAATACTGATTACATGTTATTCCTGTAGAAAATATGGAAACACACACGCATAAACACACATCTAAGCCGCTTATCCTCCTGGGTCGCAGGGGATGCTGGAGCCTATCCCAGCGGTCACTGGCCGAAGGCAGGAAACACCCTGGACATGTCACCAGCCCATCGCAGGGCACTATCACTGAACACTGTAGGTTAGACTTTGTATCAAAAAATGCAAAGGATAGATTTATTGTGGAAGAATTCAGTTATAGATAGATGTGAATGTTTTTTATATTCAGAATAATTTAGAACTCACCCAAACCATCTTTTATGATTTTATAATAAGGTTTGGTCTAAAATGCATTATTAGGTCTTTTTCTATTAGTCACCAAAGAAAACTTTTAAACTTTTAAGGTGGCATCTGTTGGTAAAAACATCAAATCCCTCCAAATAAGTTTGATTACATCTCAATGATTGAAATATGCAGAAATAAAAATAGGTATTTTTCCCCTGTAAAATTGAAGGTTTTATATTAAATTATACAGATATCTGTAATTAAATAGATATATGTAGTGTTGAAACAGATCACATGTGAGCATGGTAAATGTGAAGTTTTTTATTTAAAATTCTTTATTTTATTAATATTTTTATTAATGTCAGTGGCTGCCTTTTCAGGCATTTACAAGGGTTCTATTCTAAAAAGGAGCTCACTCTTATATATGAGCTAAGCCAATTGATCTGATGGAAAGGAATTCACTTGACTAGTGCTCTGCTAAAAACCAGTTCTTCAGCATTTAAAAAACCTTGATCATAAAATATCCTCAATGATAAACCTTCATTCACAGTGTTGAACAATGACCAATGCTAATAGAACCCAAAAGACTGAACTAATATGCCGGGCCTGGTCAATGTTTTAGAATATGTGTACCATAAACATTAAACTGAATAGATGTCATAGATGCTGCTGGCAAATAGTGGGCAATAACCAGACAACAGGATTGTGCAACCACACCGCTAAAAATTGCCACTGCCCTGGTCAGTGACAAGACTTGATCAAAAAAGCTGTTTCCATTTTTTACAGTGGTTAAAAGGATGCTGTTAAAACACAAAAAACATGAAAACCTGCACTTCTTGTCTCATGCTAGGGTGTATATTTCATCTCATTATTCTATCGATTCTTCCTAATGCCAGGATAATACACTCTGCTCTCTCACAAACTATTTACGTAGGTTAGTCCCACTGCTCAAGTTTAGCATTGGGCGAAATAGTTTTTATGACGTTTTAGAAATTTGATGTTATGTGGATCTTCTCTTCGGTTACTGCTGCTCTGATCCTCTCTTTCTTGCTGTTTGACAGTCCTTCTTCTTACATAATTTCATCTATTTCTGTGGCCATAGAAAACCTGCATCTCCCAGCTCACATTAGGGTCCACACTTAATATTTCTTAGTGTTAACATTGCAGCTCTGACATCATTTGGTTATTGGCTATTGTATGTTCTCAACAACAACAGATTGTAAATTGTCTACATTTTATTTTTGAAAAGTGAGGCAAATCATTGCCAAAAATATTGGGCCAGTCATATATACTGTTATTAAAACATACTGTTATTTAAAAAAGTGATGGACAACAATAGAACATTCAAGCTGGCATCTGAATTGTTCTGGAGAATAACTGTAGTTTCATTTGAGGACACAGAATAAAACAATATCATTGCTGAATTGTCCAAGATTTATTCATTGACACTTCACAACATGATGTCGCATCCATTTCCCAACTGGAGACTGTCAGAGGACTTTTTTTCCTTTTTCAGGCTGATTCTGTATCTGAAGCTCTTTTCCTTAGCAGCTGCTCTTTATGGGCATTCTGGAATGACATCATGCAGTCTTTAAAGTCCTTAACCTGTTTCTGGCATTTTCTCCAATCTTGGTGTTCTGCCATGCAATCCTGGATTGCATAGTGCAGTGCAGCGCAGCCAGTCCTGCTGATCATCTGCTCCACTGGATCATTTTCATCTTCGGGTCTACTGCGGTCATGGGGTGAGGGTGAAGGAGAAGATGCCATTTTGGTTCAGATCTAGGCAGGAGATAGGGGAACAAATTGGTAATGCTTTCACTGAGAGGTCCAAAAGATTTACTTCAAAGCTGATGATGGTATTGTCCAACAGATACTGTATAAAACATTTTATTGTACATATGAATGCTTCATTAACATGCCAAACAGCTGATGATTTCGCATTTACACTTATTTAACAGTCGCTCATGGTATTAGAGCAACAAAATACAAAAAGAAGTCACATATGCATGCAAGGTTATAGCGATAGGCATTATATTCGTGAAAAACAGTCATATAGGTGTCAACCCATACGAATAAGGGCCCCCCTTTACCAGTAATTATGTACTGTTCATATTTGTTTTCCAGTCTAAAAGGTAATCTGACCACACTCTGTGTGATGTGGTAGCAACGCAGCTACAACAGTCGTCGTCATGCGCACACAGTGCACAGATAAAACAGGTAGCGTCTCCCATGAGAGTTGGGCTGTAATAAAACATTACAGTTGCTGTATCTAAGTTGTGTACCTGTCATAAGAAGGCATTAGCAAAAATACATTTTCAGCTAGCTGCAGCATTAGAACACAGCCTGACTGTGTGCGCTCTCTCTTTCTGGCTGTTACTGTTTCAGTACGTGTACTGTGAGAGAGAATTTTTAAACTGTCTAACCCCAAAGTAAAAATAAAATTCTGATTCTGTATTAAGTAATTAGTCTGACTACCAGAGAAACATAGTACAGAAGATCAAAACAGCATACAGTGGTCTGTTTTTGTTTTTTGTTGTGTTTTGTTTTTGTTTGTTTTTTTTTGTGCTGTTAATTATTTCAATAGTAGATATTGTCCCATACCGGTTTTAGTAAATATATATAGTTTGGAGGCGATAAACATAAGGGTTGGTTACTGTCTCCCTAGGTTGACATTTAGAGGTGAATGGGTTGGGAGGAATCTTAACCTAACCTTTTTTCTAGGCTTAAACTCTTGGAAACCAGCCCAAAAGTACTTTCCACAAATGTCAGAAATGTTCACCAAAACATTACGTTATGTTCCTTATCCTTGTGACCGGGCTGTTCACTTAGAACAGACCAGACTTTACATCAACTATCAAGCTAACCTAACTAGGGTTACTAGTAACGAACCTCCTAGGTCAACACAAGACATATTTTCGCTCACAGCGCCCTTTTCACTTCTAACTACAGTCAGACAGCTGCCTTACCAACACAGCTAAACTAACGAACTTCCAAACAAAATCATTGTGAGCAAAAAATAATCAACAGAACAACATCCGAAGATCTGAATATACCACAGAAAATGCTTTTGTACTTACAAGAAGATTAGCTAGCTAGTCATACTTTTACATATATGTTGACTATCGGTTCCAGGATTGTCAGGCGTTGCGAGGGGAAGAATTTCAAGGGAGGACAGGAAGTTCGGAGGCATTAACGCGCCCACAGCCAGTGAACTTGTAGAGAGCAAAATCATAGTTTATAAATGCTTAAACATTTTCAATTTAAAAGAATAACATAAAACATTTTAACACCGCTGTTACATTTTTAAGAGCTTTTAAACTCGAGTTATAGGAGTTTAAAACCGCGCCTCATGTATGTCCATGAGGTCAGTGAGCGCGAACAGCCAATGAGCTGTTCTGCTCGCCAATCAATCATCACTCTCTAGCAGTAAAGCCCGCCTTCTGCTGCCCAAAACCCGTTTGCTGTAGAAAAAAGGAAATATATAGGTTAGGTAAGATTTCTTTTTTTAGTGAAATACATCCTTCTATTTTCTAAAATTAAAGAAACGTTCTGGGAAAGTAATTAGAAACTATTTTAACTTTTCGTTTTTAGCCGTTGAGCTCCATTTACTCCCATTCATTGAGGACTCACTCTGCTGTTTAGCAGTCCTGTTTTTGATATAACGGGAGGAATAGGAAGTGGCCAGACTGCTCATAAACCGGCTCTGAGGCGGATACGCTAGATGGCAGTGTTGCAGCTTTCATGAACCGTGCAGGGTTTAATAGACTTAATATAACTGCTACGTCTAAACATTGTCAAGAAAAACAGCACACTTTTAAGGAAAATGCATTCTATTGTAATGAAGAAGTTTTTAAATTATTATTATTATTATTATTATTATTATTATTATTGATGCACGCACACACTGCAAGAGATTAAGGTTTTTCAGTCTTGTCCTGCTTAAACGTGAATGAAAGGAGAAGGATATGTATCTTAACCAGTTCCAGAGGGATGCGAAATAACAATAGAATGATAAAATTGTCATTATTGATGGTGTGGATCAATACAAACTCCCAAAGAGAGGAATAATGATCTGGGTATGCTACTTTGTCTTTCATTCCCAAACTTTATCACAGCTGGTTTGTGGCCAAGTTATTTATGTATGTATATATGTATGTATGTAACAAATGTTAATTGTCACCTCAGCTGTTACTAGTTAAACAAACAAAACTGAAAACTTGAAACGAATGGTAGTTAAACATCATTAACTGCTCTGAAACAGAAATTAGAAATCTAGTGTCTCTGGGTAATTATATGTTTTATTCACAACTTAACAAGAATTTGAACTAGCTTATTATTTGTCTTACCTCCAAACTCTCAAATGTATTTGGGTCTTTCATGCTTGCATTTCATACATGTTTTGCAGCATTTCTATAGCTGACTGTCAATAACTGAAAGGGGCAGGTGTATCATCTCCAGCCTTTAGAGTGCCATCTCTACTCAACTAATGGGTGGACCCAGGTAAATTGGGCTTACTATGAACATTTTAGCATAAACCTCTAACTGGTTTAGGAACGTTATGTTGGGGTTCAAAGGGGAACAGAAATATGAAAATACTGATTCTGCTCAGGGCACATCAATTTCTTTTTATTGCATTTTGAGCCCTGATTTAACCAGCCTGAAGTATAAAGAATTGTGATAAAACATACTCTATGAACTGAAAAGAGCGCAACATAGAACAACCTACATCTGAATCTTTTTATCAGGCAGAATTCTCTGTCCACATAATAAAGTTTACTGCTGTGCTTGCCGATTTAATACTGAACTTTTCTTGAAAGATCCTACTGTGTCATACCCCCATGCAGCAGTGTTGTATGAATTACTTGCCAAATTCATGATCACCCTGCAAAATGCTGGTGTGACATCATCCACCTACTTACACTGACTACAGATGAAAACCATACTATGAAAAGGTAGAAGAAGGCAGACAGACACCTCCTCTGACAAATCTTTGTGATAGTTCCTTAACACCTTAAAATCACAGGCTTATTACATACTTAGTTCAGTGACTACAGGAACTTCAAAAGCTATTCTTAAGTTATAGAAGTATGTAAAAAACCTTGGGCCTGCCGATGGACCATGTCCATCTAAGAGGTTAAGTTCTTCAATACCTCCTCCTGCTCCTGGTCAAACTTGACCCTTTTACTGAACTGCCCATTTCTATATAACCCTCCATTTTACCATCCAGCTCAGGCCTCTGTTTTGATTCTTCTTGGAGGGCTGTGTTACAGTGTCTCCGCTATATGTTCATGGAATATTCAATTTTGGTATTGACAGATCAAAATGATGAATTGTAATGCATATTCTTGCTCACTGAAATCTGAATTAATGGAGACAAATACATATTCTTTAAAATAAAGATCTGAAAAAAATGTGAAAATTTGTAAAAGGTCACCAAATTTGAAGCAGCAGGTGTAAAGTGCCTCACCTAAGGTAAACCTAGTCAGTCGTGGGATTTGAACCCACAACCTTCAGGTTGAGGATTTACTTCTTCTACCACTAGGCTACCGGCCATAACTAATACAGCAGCTGATTTTTTTTTGTTTGTTTCTTCTTCTTCAGAAATACATGGACAAAGATTTTTCACAACACTTATTTTGTGTAGTTATTAAGAGTCATTACCAAAATAACCTGACATAATGCAGTTTAAATATAAAATTGCATTGCAATAAACTTTGGGATTTCCACACTATAGTGTTATGAACAAAAACAAACATCTGTCATTGTGGCATGCGCCCGGCCCCCGAGCGAGGACAAAGCCTTGCGAGGACAGCGGGGAGAGAAGGAGAACCATGACTGAGTGGTGGACGGCGCAAGTCCCCGCCTCCTGGGCACGGCCTCCGGTCCCAGCAGCTGCCACTGTACTTTGCCTTGCATTCAATCCCAGAGATCAAGCCATGGAGCGGGGGCGGTGACGGGGATGTGTGAGCAACGAGCTGTCTTGCCCTCTCTGCCTTCTGGGCGCCTTTAAAAAGAGAAGAGAGGTAAAGGGAGAGAGAAGAGCAGGAGACAACGAACAACTCACGAGCTGAAAAGCTTAACTTAAGAGAAAAAGACTGAAAGGTAACCACAGAGAGGGTCGTGTTTCGTTTGTTGTGTTTGTTGAGTGTAAAAATAAAGAGACATCGCTGCTGTAACCCTCAACCCGTAGTCTGTAAAGCATTAAAGTAATCACATCCAATTCAAGCACAATGGCTAGATATTCAAAAGATGAAAATCCATCTTAGTACAACTGAGCTGAACAGCGAAGATAGCATCTAAACCACCCCCTCATTTGTCCTGTCTTGCTGGCTGAAAGAACTTCGTTCTTTCAGAAATCGTTGATTAAAAGTCAAAGTCAAAGTTTAATTATATAGCATTGTCACAAAGCAGCTTTACAGAAAAATCTGGGTCCAAGCCCCCATAAGCAAGCCAATGGCAGCAGTGGCAAGGAAAAACTCCCTAAGAGCAAGAAGAAGAAACCTTGAGAGGAACCAAGATTGAAAAGGGGAACCCATCCTCCTCTGGTCGACACCGGATAGCAAACAGCATTAGTATAAACTATTAAAATACAGAAATGGGGAAAAACAGAAGCAATGGTTATAATTAGAGTTTGAGTCTGTGCAGCAGCAGCAGCAGTATCATCAGAAGGCTGGTGAGCAGTGGGCACCCGATCAAGGCAGAAAAAGCAACAGCATCAGACGCACAGGATGGGCAGCTGTTTAACTCGGCAAGGAAAAAGAAAACACACAGAG